TGGGAGCCAGGACTCCTGGGTTCTCTCCCCGGCTCTGGGAGGGGAGTGGAAGCCGGGGGGTTAGAACAGGCACAGTGGGGGTGGGAGCCAGGACTCCTGGGTTCTCTCCCCGGCTCTGGGAGGGGAGTGGAAGCCGGGGGGTTAGAACAGGCACAGTGGGGGTGGGAGCCAGGACTCCTGGGTTCCCAGCAGGGTGGGGGAGCCCAGCCCTGAAGCAAACCGGCCACCCTTCCCCCTCCGGGGCTCAGCCTTGAGCTGGCTCTGCAGCCGGTGCCTTCTGGCCGGCTGGCTGTAAACACTGCGGCCGGGCGACATTCCTGCCTGGGCCCCGCTCCTGGACTCCCCCCGGGGGCGCCCGCCCCACTTCACACCCGCTGTTAGGATGTGGGAGCCAGCCGCCGCCCCCTCGCCCCGTTTCATGGCCCCGCAGCGGGACGCGGGGGCAGGCCCACGCTGTCTAGGGCAAAGTTGGGGTAGAGACCGCGCTGCCCCCTCGGCTGCTGCGAGCCGCTCCCCTGCGGCTGGGCCCCCCCCCAGGCCAGGCTGGTGAAATTTAAGGGCTCTAAACTCCATTTTCACCTGAATCCCCCCCCAGCAGGCTCAGCGGGGCTAGCGCCTGGGCGGGTGCTTTGACCGCCCCGTGGGGTCCCCCAGCCCCGCTGCCTCAGCTGAATAACGACATGAAGCTGGGGGCCTGTCACTCTCTGGGCTGGGCCAGAGAAATGGGGCTGTCTTGCCCACGTGTAGCCCAGGCTAGAAGCGTGTGGTTGCGACCTGGGAGCAGTGGGGAGATGGGGCTACCACAGCCGGGGGGCTTTACCCCTAACCCCATAGGGTATAGCCCATCCGTTGGACTCAGCCCAAGGCCCATGTCTGTCCTGCCAAAGGCCCCCCCCGGCAGGGTGGCCCCAAAGCCAGACCTGTCCTTGCCCCCAGTGGCTACCCCCCGGTTTGGAGGCTAGCAGGGGGCAGGGGCTGCTTTCTTTTAGGGACATGGGCCCCACTTCTGCAGGGCTACCTGTCTCCTCCCCACAAACACACCCCTTTAACCCAAGAGCCGTTCCAGCCATTCCTTCTTCGCCCTGGGGGCGGGCCCGACCCCAGCTCCTGCCTTTGATTTGCAGGCCTGGCTTAAAAACTGGGGGTGCAGCAGGGTCCCCCACACACACACATTCTGCAGAGTCCTGGACCAAAATGGGGGGTGCCACTACCCCCCTCATGTCTGTGCTTTTAGCCCCCCTGATCACTAACGCCTTGTCTGTCTGTCCCTGCCCCAGTGGGGCATGGGGCCTGTTCCCTTCACACTACGACCCCTAACCCCGGGGGGGGGTTCCTGGAGCTCATACCAAGGCTGCTTTTTTTAACCAGTTGTGGGGTGGGGCTGCTGGGGGTTACGCCAGGCACCCTGGCCCTGCACCCAGGGGTCAGCAGCACCCAGGGCCCGCCTGGCAATGTCGGGGCTCAGCTTTGAATAAAAGATACTGGCCCTCTATTGACTGGTGACTTTTTGGGGTCATGTGTGCTGGGCA